TACACTATACGATAGATGTGTAATACATTTGATCAATAGATGGACATTCAGACGTATGTTTAGATCATAGGTTGGCCTCATTCTCCTCTAACGTCCTGTACAACATCTCAAATCTTGTTAAAATAAGGTCACAGCTGCACCTGACGCATACTATACATGAGAGTGCACCTTACTGTTCTGATTAAATTTAGGGGAAAAAAGCAGATTGAGGAAGAAAATCTGTTAAAAATCAATCTTGTGAAGCATTACCGAGCACACGAAAAATCTTCTAACCTTATAATCCTTACAGGGAAGATGGTACACATGAAAGAAGGTACATACAATACATGACTCTCAGTACTAGTTCTGTGCTGTGTTCACTGCCAGTATGTGTTTCTCTGGGTTACATTTCATACGACAGTGCAGCTCTACAAGATGCACGTCACTAATGCTGATCAGTGACTGCTGACAGTGGTCTGCATATCCCCTATCCCTGGCTAAGATAAGGAAGTCAACACAATGGAAGCACTGAGTCAGGATTTTAGGATTTTCCCAAACTGCCTTCAAAAGGCGATGAAGGTTATAAAGTTTAGGTTCGGCTGCCTTATAAACCAAAACGAAGAAGATGTGGAAGAGACAACGCCACCAGCCCTGAAATCGGTGGGGTTAAAAAAACGAGTGGTGGGTCTTACTTTCCCCTCCAGGAGTGTTTGGTAGTGTAGAAACAGGCCAAGTCTTTGTTCTCTTTGACGACATTCATCTTTTCACAGGACCTAGAAAAAAAAAAAAAAGAAGAAAAGTTATTATGACTAGGATAAAGGAGTAAGCTCTTGTACAAGTAAAGCGTTCAGAAAATACATAGGTGGAAGATCTTTATTTGAACATTACCTGAAGTATTATATTTTTAAAATTACACAGCAGAATAAAAACCAGCGGGTCTTTGTGTCTCGGTGAATGTAAGGTCTATCAGAAGTCACCAAACAACTCGCACCTTCGCAAGTTATTATTACATCAAGTGTATGTAACAAGCATTCGAACAACACACACTTCACACAGTCATGTGTCATTTTGCAGCTCCAAGGGAAAATCCCACCAGTCAACCCCACCGGCCACAGAACTAATACTGAGTAAAGAGTGATTCTCCAACGACGGAGAGCAGCCCGTCGCTCCATGACTGACTGTAATTTCCTCAGTTATGAGCCACAGCATCAACGCAGCTGGCAGCACATGACTTAGAGTTTATAATAAACCCCTCTTCCTTAATATCCTCACGCTCTCCTTCACGCGTGTGTTTCCACGCTCTGAAAAGGGGCATACTTAGAAAGGACCAGTGTGTGGAGGATTTAGTGGCATTTCGCGGTGTAGTTACAGGCTGCAACCCTCTCGCTGCACCGTCCTCTTCCGAGCATGAGGAGGAAACTACGGTGGTTAGAAACACATGAAAAACAGCAGATCAACGCGGCGGCCTCCATGGAAGGTAGATAGAAAAGGTTCATTCTAAAAAGGTAACAAAAACATAATGTTTCCCATTTTTAGGTCACTCTACATAAAATGAAAGCATACCTATGAAGAATATATCCTATTTCTGATAATAGATCGTCCTAAATGTTACACAGGGGACCTTTAAAGAGCCACTGGGATTCAACCAGCTCAGCAAAACAGAGACAAAGTAAAGGTCTCATTCCAGCCTGATATCATAGTCACAAAAACAACAGTGCACCAGCTGAGCATGCGTCAATAAAGCCCGGTGCAAAGCCAGTGTGGCCTATTGATCACTTTAGATAAACAGGGGTTAGGCTTTGTGTTTGGGCCTAGTCCTTGTAATGTTACTTTAAGGTAGCTAGAGCCTCTCAAACCTGGACAACAGATTCATTATCACTAAATCAGAAAAGGACAGAACACAAAGCATTGGTGGGACGGTTAGGAGTGACAGATTGGTTCAATCAAATAAAGAGATGAAGGCATCAAAGACTAAAACAGACCAGATGGAAATGGAAGGAATAACTGCCTCTCTGATCCTGAGTGCAGTAATTTGCTGGCGGCCGCACTGTGACAAGGGGGAACCTGTGTCAGCACTCTGCCAGGATCCTGGAAAAATCTAACTCCAGTTCTCCTTCCTCTCTGTTTCAGTGTGCAGCAGGGAGCAGCAAAATAGCCACAGAATGATGGAATCCACCATTCACCACACGCACAATTGTCTGGTGTTCAAAAGAGGGCAGGGCGCAAACACGAGCTACTTCCAGGTGGCCCAACCCCGGACGAAGGCCTTTAAAAAGTTAGCCCTCATCGACATCTCAATAATTGATGCCTGTCCTGGGGAACAAAGGTGCAAGGAACAGTCCAGAGCCGAGTTGTGCATCAACAGTTGCAGTTTTTTTTTTGTTTTTTTCAAACACGCATTCATGGAGCTGCATAATGAATCCAATCCAAAGCAGGGGGCTGATGGGACGCACAATAGGAGATGTTAGCAGCAAGCAGGGCACAGCGTGCTCCCTGCTGCTGCAGAGGGCAGTGCGGTTTTTATTATATTACTGTGATGAGTGTAAAAAAAGACCCAAGGCGGATTCCTGGATTGGGTCATGTGATCACCCCCTCCCGGCTCCTTCCTGCCTGTATGCAGATCAATCGGATATCCTTGACAGAGTTGAGCACAAGAAAAAAAGTAAACAGGAGTAAAAGCGAAGTAAACATAAATGGAACAATGCCCAAAGCAAAGCACCTTTACATTTACAGAATAACTTGTTCCAGACAGGTCTGGCGACTTTTGATGAACTTAAAACAGCTTTTCATCATAGCTAAATATAACTGGCAGTCTGTACAACCCCATTATTTACACTGGCTTGCTTCAACCAGGTAGTACTGCTAATAGGATTGTATCAAACCTCTAAATGGCACTTCTTCTGAACGACTGAAAACTGTCAACGGCAGGTACGGACACAGGTTGAGCGTCACGACAATTGACACGGTTCAAGCAGCTGTTTTCCTTGTTTCTCACAGCTGTTGGAGAAAAAAAAAAAAGTTTCCCTGTAAAGAATAGGCAAAACCCACTTAAGCATCAGTGTGGGTACAAGGGTCAAGCTATCATGTGCTATTATACAATTATATGGCCACAACTATATTTTTTTCTCCCATCTAGAGTTAATAATTATGTTGAATATAAAGCGTTCACCATACAAGAACTGAGAATACAAGTAAGGAGAGCCAAACCAGAGCAATGTCCATTAAAATAAAACATCTTCAAGGGGCACCTGGACCTCCAGAATGAAATATTTCATAGAGCTTTAATAAAAAAACAAACATATAACCTATAATATGGTATTTAACGTATATAATATGCTGGTTTTTCTTCTTCTTGGAGGCTTTTTCTGCACTGGAGACATGTTGCAACGTCCTCCCTTTATTTGCCAATTATGTGAAGCAATCTCTCTCTCTCTCTCTCCACCAAGACGGGAACTAACTGTACTCCATCCTTTGCCACATCCTATCCTACATATAAGGGGATTCATAAACCACCTTGCAGCAAACTTTCAGCTCTTCTCACACGTGATTAAGAGAGATACAAAACATTTAAAAAAAAAAAAAAAGGAAGACAATGCGTTGAAAGCAGCTAAAAGGCGAGGTCCACTTGAGGATGTGCGCCGTCTCCCGAGCTGTCAAGTGAGCATTAACGTTACCTGGCTCTCAGGCGTTCAGCACAACTCTGCTCCATTGCAGCGGGCCTAACACGGGTTAACCTACCGGGCTAAACACAACCGAGACAAGAAACGACGAGAGAGAGAGAGAGAGAGGCAACGTCGACGCTTACTTGCTCCACCTTAAAAAAAAAAAAACCCACACAATTAAAAAAAGACCACCACGGTTGTTATCAGCGTTTTAGATGCAAGAAAATAAAGAGGGGGAGAGGAGGGAGGGAGGGGGGAGAGAGAGGGAGAGTGTGAGAGAGGGAGAGAGTGAGAGAGAGTGAGAGAGAGAGAGAGAGAGAGAGAGTGAACTCCTGATGTCTGTAGCTATTTTTTGTCAGCTGCTTCTGACCCTCCAGATTGTTTATGAACTGGGTAAAAGCCTATAAATATCATTTTATTGCGTTTTGGTGCCATTGTTTGGGGGCCACAAACCCCACTGTTGTATGTGAAATGGGAAGTAGCTCTCATGCACTCATTACACAAAAAGAGGAAGTATTGCGTTATATGGTTCCTTATATGCACAAAGTTGTACCACAAAGTAGAACTCCATGTTAGACCTCTTATGAGCAGACTGTTAGAGACACTTATGGATTTGGAAGGGGTAAAGCTTGCATAAAAAACATTGTCAACAACAATCACAGATATAGAATCCATTGTATTCTGCCATGGTTGACAGAAACTCTTTTCAGGTTTTAACTTGACTAGTTGTCAGTTCAAAATCATGTTAGGAAGATAAAGTCTCCAGGTCTCCAGAACTTCCAAGAGCTATTCAATCACTTTGTCTTGTTTTGTTATAATCCCGTCAGAACAGTGGTTAGACAAGGCATGGTTTAACTCTTGATCTAGTTAAGAGAATTATAAAATGATTACATAATCATGAAATATTTATACCAACCAATACCAAACATGCAGAGAACAAATGTCCATCAGTGGCTTTTCTTTAGGATTTGTGGGAAGTTTGCTGTAGTCTTCTTCACCAAGGTTCTTCTTCTTAACAGCTACACAGATTTTCAAACTTGTTTGAAGGTGTTTAAGTTTTCTCACAACCAATCAGCTAATCATTTCAGTAATTTATTAGTAATCTTTAGGTTTATGTTAATTGGACGAAGCAAGTAATTTAAAGATGTCACATTGGGATCTGATTTACAGCATCAATTAATACAAAATAAAATTAACATAACCCACTTCCCAGTAAAACTCAAAGTCAGTGTTTTTTTTAAATCAGTCAGCTGTCACAAATGGCGTATTTGTTCAGGTATTTAAAGAATTTTAAATAAACATGGGTGGAAATTCCTCACAAGATTCAGGTCATGTGGCAAAAAGCAAAATACAATCAGAAACTGGTTCAAGATGTTCCTTTATTTTATTCAGGGAATAACAATACTGTCAAGTACACTAAGCATAGTTCCCATAACCAGTTGTGGAAGACTACAATCTCCTGTCCACTGTATTTATTCTTTTCATTCTCCTTCAAAGAAGTACTGTAACTTTAATCCAGAGAAGTTCATCTGTGTGCATGATAGGTTTCCTTTTGTTTGCTCGACCAGGAAGAATTGACCAGTCATTGCCTTTGTAAGACTTCACAGGTGGATTAAACTATGCAAGACTGTCAATAAAATAATATTATTTCTGCTATATGTAACAAAAGACATGTTTCACACCAAATGCACAGACACAATAAACAAGTGAGACAAAAACACAGAATGTACACATTGGGGTGTAGTGTCTCTTTGAGCTACTGACAGCTGCTTACATCAGGGACAACTAACCCTTTCCCATTGTATAATATATCAAGACAGACACTGGAGCTCTTCCGGTGCAAAAGTGAAAATAAAACTGTTGTTTCACCACTAACTTTTGAGCAAGGAGTGCTTGATGGTGCTATGCAACAGCACCATCTGGTGGTGCAACTATTCAACTGTACGTTGAGTGTTGAGCCCTTTATGCATTTTGGGCTGATCTAGTTTAGTTTTCCCTTTTATCTGCATTGGAAAGCAGGGAGACACACAAATTAAAGCATTGAATGTAGTGAAATGACAAATAGTGAGGCCAACATGAACATACTCAAGGCTACCTTTCCCTTGGAATTCAAGATACAACTTTCTATTAAATGGTTCTAGTTTTGTTCTGAATTTGGCTCTTTATTTTCAAAATTTGTTCCCTTAAAGTGGTCCTTTTAAAAGTGGTAGATCGTCACAAGAACGATTTGACCTTTATGTTGTCTTACTCCCAGCTGTAGCATGTCTAGGGGAAATGTGGGGAGGGCTAACTAATCAATAAAGGATTTGGAATTTATTTTTTTGGTGGGGAATGTGTGTGTGAGTGCGCTGGGAGGACTGGAAGGGCGTCTGCCTCATCCTCCTATGCCTGGAATTCGAGGCCGAGACCAAGCTTGTGGCCACCAGCGTTGATGTTCTTGCCGTCAAGGAGAGCAGAGAGCGTCAGCTTGATGCCTGCAGAAACAAAACACATCAGGATAAACCATTCACAGCCAGGGCAAGTGTGTGTAAAGTGAAAAAGATGTTCTACTTAATCCTCCACAACAGTCTGAAACAGTATTTTGATTTTACAGGTTTCTTACTGAACTATTCCATTCTTTAATCTACTGTTGTTTATCCTTGAGAAATTGTAGTTGTTGGCTATAATTTACCCTTTACAACTCTTCTAACTGTCCTATTTTCAACTGGGCATCAATAAAGAATATTAGTAGTAGTAGTATTCTCAAGTAGTTTCAATGTCTGTCAGAAACTCTGAGTCATTAGATCAAGGTGTACCCTGTACATATATAAAATTGACTTAAGATACAACAATCCACAAACACACATTAATTCCACTGCTCAGATTTGGACTTAATTCTAAGTTTGGAATCCTGATTAAATTGCCCTTTTCTGGATCATAATGTTGTATTTATTGAGTAAATGTTGACATATTGTAGTATTTGTAAACATGGTTGGTATTGTGGTCTATGTAAGCATAACTAAGTTATATACAGACTGGACTCACCTGGCTTCAGAGTCTGAGTGTAGCCCAGGCCCACAAGACTGGAGTTGTTCACCTTGGCCTGTGTAGGTATCACAGAGGAAAATCATACCGAGAACAACACATAGTAATTTATTGTCTGTTTCAAACTAAATATAAAAAATATAAATCTGAACTCTGATTCATACTGAATTCTGAAACCGATACTGTGATTCGAAAGTGCCACCACTGAGACATTTTCACTCAAGAATGGTATGTTGACCTTGTTATTAACATGCTACCAATAGTTGTTAAAAAATACATATAACTACAAAAATACATATAACTACACTTACAAACAACCATTCACACTAATTGGCTCAGCTGCAAGTGGGATTTAAGGACTAATGTGATAGACGGGACTAAATTAGCTTGGGCCTTTCTGTAGCAGACTAGCAGACTCCTCCCATTGGCCGTTTTGGCACGGATGAGGCTTCTCTCATGCCCAGCTGAACATGATGTATTCCCATGGACATTCTTTCAAGTTGGTCAGCTGGGCAGGACATGCAGCGAAGATTGTAACCTAGATTTAAATGGAGCAATATCACGACTAGTCGTGGTGCATCTTAGTTCATATCGTAGACACCTAGAATGTCTCTGTAAAACTAGAAGTCCGTTACACTGCACAATTCCTTGGAATTCCTTGAAGGCATCCATAAAATAACATTTTAATTATACAACATGTTACTATACCACCACCACCACCACCACCACTACTACTACTACTACAACCACTACTGCTACTGCTACTACTACTTCTTCAGGTTACACACTACTCACAGAGAAGGATGCATCAGAATCAATCTGATACTTGGCAGCGATGCCAAAGCGGGTGTTGCTGTTTCCGGCAGTCCAGGCCAGGTTGACGGCTGTCTCCAGCTGGTCATTCACCTTCTGGTAAATGGAACCACCAAACTCAGTGCCATCATTTCTGAGGAAAAAGACCAGATTGGGATATAGGTAAGTGTTACCCTCAGTGCCTACCTGAACAGCATGTGAGGGCTACGGCGGTGAACAGCGGCATCTGGCACACGAGCATTGTTCACTGCAGAGCTGCTGCCCTATCTTTCTATGCTGAGTTTGCCTTTGATAAATACCACACAATAAAATCCCTGTGAGCATATGAATGGATTCTGTCCACAGATATAGACATTGAAACTGTAGTGAAAGGTGTATATGTTGCTGGTATAATGTCGATATGACTATGAACGGACCATTTTCACTCTGTTTCTGCTGGGAAACGTATGCAGTTCCCGGAACAAATAGGCAAGACCTCGACTCTCTAGTGAGATGTGCAACTCAAGCGGGCGCTGTGACTGCTCTAATCTGTTAATTTGGACGCCAAAATAAAAAGACGTTCCGCCATGCACACGCGCTGCTCAGGTAGGCGGTG